GCCCAGGCTGGAGTGTAGTGGTGTGATCTCGGCTCACTGCAGCCCCTGCCTCCCAGGTTCAAGTGATTCTTCTACCTCAGACTCCTGAGTAGCTGGGGCTACAGGCATCTGCCACTACACCCAGCTAATTTTTGTATTTTTAGTAAAGACGGGGTTTCACCATATTGGCCAGGCTGGTCTGAAACTCCTGACCTTGTGATCTGCCTGCCTTGGCCTCCCAAAGTACTGGGATTACAGATGTGAGCCACAGAGACCAGCCTCTTAATACTTCTTTTACTAGCTTTGTGACTTTTGATGTTATTCAATCTCTCTCTGCTTCATTTTTGTTATCTCATTATTTGTTAAATGGTCACAATGAAACTTACTTTTCAGGTAGTTGGGAAAAATTAAACAAGATTAGCATTCTTAAGGTATAGGGCATAGTGTATGCATGTATTTACTATATGGATTCTATAATTATTATTTGAATTTGAGAGTTTCTTCTGTTCATGAACTAATAACTCCAAGGAATATATGCGAAATATATTTGGCACTGTACAGCTTACTCTTACTGCATTTCGTCATCTTGCTTCAGTGATCCATATAACTGTGTTCTTCTGCGTACCATTTTTGCGTTGTATTATACATCCTTTTGTTTTTTCTTTCTCCCATTTGTATTGAAAATTGTTTTCTCGGTTACAACCCTCTTAAGTTGTACTTTTAGTTAGGTTTTCACACTTCAGTTAGATTTCACACGTGGGAGTGTGATTGGAATAAGGAGGGAATTTCACATTCATAAAGGTTCTCAAATGTAGATTGAAAAATTATTTTAGATTTAGGGGTATATGTGCAGGTTTGTTACATGGATATATTGTGTAATGCTGAGGTTTGGGCTTTTAGTGATCGTGTTGCCAAAGCAGTGAACATAGTACCCAATATATGGGTTTTTCAACCCTTGCCTCCTTCTGTCCCTCCCTCCTTAGGGAGTCTACAGTGTTTATTTTTCCCATCTTTGTGTCCATGTATACCCAATGTTTAGCTGCCATTTATAAGTGAGAACATGCAGTATATTTTGTTTTCTGTTTCTGTGTTAATTTGCTTAGGATAATGGCCTCCATCTGCATCTATGTTGCTGCGAAGGACATGGTTTTGTTCATTTTTATGGCACTGTAGTATTCCATGGTCTATATGTACCACATTTTCTTCATGCAGTCCACTATTGATGAGCACTTGGGTTGATTTCATGTCTTTTCTATGGTGAATAGTACTGCAATAAACATATGAGTGCAGATGTGTTTTTGGTAGAATGATTTATTTTTCTTTGGGTATATGCCCGGTAATGAGATTGCTGGGTCAAATGGTAATTCTATTTTTAGTTCTTTGAGAAATTTCCAAACTTCTTTCCACAGGGACTTAACTAATTTGCATGACCACCAACAGTGTATAAGCATTCCTTTTTATCTGAAACCTCATCAACATCTGTTATTTTCTGACTTTTTAATAATAGCTATTCTGACTGGTGTGAGATGGTATTCCCCTGTGGTTTTGATTTGCATCTCTCCGATTAGTTATGTTGAGCATTTTTTTTTTCATGTTTTTGGGCCACTTGTATGTCTTCTTTTGAGAAGTGTCTATTCATGTACTTTGCCCACTTTTTAATAAAGTTATTTGTTTTTTTCTTGTTGATTTGTTTAAGTTCCTTATAGATTCTGGATATTAGTCCTTTGTCAGATGCATAGTTTGAAGATATTTTCTCCTGTTCTGTAAGTTGTCTATTTACTCTGTTGATGGTTTCTTTTACTCTGCAGAAGATCTTTAGTTTAATTAGATAGGTCACAATTGCCAATTTCTTTGTTGCATTTGTTGCTTTTGAGGATATAGTCATAAATTCTTTGCCTAGGCCAATGTCTAGAAGGGTATTTCCTAGGTTTTCTTCTACGATTTTTATAGTTTGAGGTCTTACATATGAAGTCTTTAATCCATCCTGAGTTAATTTTTATATATTAACTCAGTCAGAGGTAGGGGTCCAGTTTCATTCTTCTGCATATGGTTAGCCAGTTTTCCAGCACCATTTATTGAATAGGGTATTCTTTCCCGATTATTTATTTTTGCCGACTTTGTCGAAGATCAGTGAGTTGTAGGGTGCGGCTTTATCAAATGTAGATATTTAGCATTAACTTCAAATCTGGTTAAAAAGGAAAAAATCGTAGAAATACACTCATAAGATAGATGTTTTTCACTTAATTTGTGTCCTGTTACTGGTAAATTCTAAATGTTATACATCGTACATGAATATTTTCATGAATCATGATAAATTAGCTTTTCATTGGCAGTTATTTGATGATATTTTTTGGTATTAGCAGAAATATTTTGTCAAATGTAAACATTTAAAACACATCATAATTTTTAAACCCTTCTTTGGCATTTCTTTATGTAATAATGTGCTAGCTGCCCCCAAAAGTAAAACTATATTGAACCTCTCCCGACCCTCTAGTGGTCCTGCTGGTGACACAGAATTACTTCTAACCAGATCTACCACCTTCAAACCAAAAAGCAAAAATGTGTGTTATTCTTTTTAATGTTCTTTGTTTCATTACACAGTAAACTCTAGTTTAATGGTGGTATTTTGAGAATGACCTCAACTCTGTGTGGTTTCTTTGTTTGGTACTGCTGACATCTTATTTCTGTTAGAATCAGTGTAATGACGATCAAGAAACCTCTATGAAACTCCTAAGCAATTACTTATAACATTATTGTATTTAAAATATCTAATTGTAAAATGTTCCCTTTACACTCTGTACAGCCTATGTTGGAGTTCTGACTTCAGTTCTTGAGTTACCAATTGATTATTTAGTTCACTGATAAGTATACACCAGTTAGAGTGTCTTCTTTTTATTTGTAACCAAAACTCCTGCTGGATATATTAAAACAAAAGTTTGCTAACTTTACACTTGAAGTCATCAACAGATGATTCTGAAAATGTACACAGCTTGTCATCATAATCCTAAATGCTCTAGTATCAGAAATACTTTCATATGGTTCACTTTAAAAGAAACATTTCCCATTCTCCAGCTGCTTGACTTTCGAGTAAGAAAATTATAGATGTTTCGCTTTATTAAAGTTATGTATAAGGGAACACATTCTCTCTCTCTTTTCTTTCAGTTTTTGCTTGTTCATACAATCTGTGGAATATAAGGCAATTTTAGGCACCTTTGACAAGGAAAAACACCTAAAAAAGTTTTCAAGATGGATGATTGCAACTTTTTAAATGACAATACTTAACTAAACTCTAAGGAACTAAAATCTTCCAAAAGTTTTATTCCAGGCAACTTAGATATGATTCTTGAGACATTTATCGCTTTCTTTTTAAAATGAAAAAGATAAAATATGCATAACATAAAAAGTTCTATTTATAAACCCTCTTAAATTATATAGTCAGTGGCCTTAAGTACATCCACATTGTTGTACAACCATTGCCACCATCCATCTTAAAAACTTTTTCATCTTCCCAAACTGAAACTCTATACCCAATAAACGATTCCCCATTCTCCACTCCCAGTTCCTGGCAACCACCATTCTGCTTTCTGTCTCTATGAATTTGACTACCCTAAGTACATCATGTAAGTGGAATCGTACACCATCTGTCCTTTTGTGAGTGGCTTACTGCACTTAGCGTAATTGTCTTTAAGGTCCATCCATGTTGTGGCAGTTTTCAGAATCCTTCATTTTTAAGGCTGAATAATATTCCATTTTATGTATATACAACATTTTGTTTATTCATTCATCTATTAAT